TTCTCAAATGGGAAATATACAACTTAATTGAACTACTATAACTATAGTACATTTAAAATGAAATGGGGGCGCCGGTGGGGGCCCATGCCGTTTAAGCTATGTCTGAGATTTGGTGAGGGCCCTATAAAAATCATTCATATAAATTATAGAGTTAAAATTTAAAATTTGTCCCATTACAATTGGTTTAAAAATATCATAGTTATAGCTTTTTTAAATTATGGAACTTTCTAGAAAATTCTAGATCGGCCCTGAATGCATTGGATATTATTAGTTTTAATTATACCAATATTTCATTACGGACAATGAAGTGTATTGCTACCACGCTAGGCCTATATCCATCAATTCACATAGAAACGATAGTCTTGTCTGAGCCTATTGATATTTGTAAAGCTTAAATAAAGAAAACTTAAATGGGGCCTCTGGCCCAAAAGGGATGGATATTATGAGTTTAGTACCCTTCGGTATTTGAATATGGATAATCAAGTAGATGTGCACTAAGTTTAGTCAAGATCCAGCTACTCATGTAGGAGTACTAAGCCTATTGACATAATATTGATATTTATATGGCTTATATAAGAAAAAATGAGGCGCCAGAGGAATGGATATTATGAGTTCTATACCTTCGGTATTTTAATATGGATAATAAAGTGTATGTGTACTAAATTTGGTTAAGATCCATCAACTCATGTGGGAGTATTTGTTGTTAATTTTATTTATATAGCTCATAAAAGGGGAAAAAAACGAATTTTGGGCCCCCGACCCCAAACGGAATGTTATAAAAAGTTCATAACCTCTTAAGAGTTCGTTCTGGATAATGATAGATATATGTGCCAAGTTTGGTAAAGATCCATCAATCCATGTAAAAACATATGTGGAACAAACCCACAAACAAATTTAAATATTCACTTGTATATATATATATATATATGTGATAAATGAAAATGAAATATTATTGACATTGAATGCTTAACAAAATTGATTTCTCTATATATTTATAATAAAAATAATGAAATCTTCGATGCCTATTCAAACAAGGGATGATCCTCATACGGATACGACTTCTTGTAGTTAGGAGTTGTGGAATAGGACTGCACCAATTAATCGTCATAGAATCGGCCTAGGCCTAGTTGGCTATTTTGTTCGATAAACCTGCTAATCTCTCAAGCGGAGTACGGGTACTAGAATATTAGGCCTATACGTAAATCTAGATCATTTTATGAAGTTTTTGCATGTTTTATGGCAGGGCTGGGAAAACTTTTGTGGATGCGCGCCAGCTACATACACCCCAGCCCAATTCTTTTTTTTTTTTTTTGCTGTGATGTCAAGGGACACCAACTAATATTACGCACTCCCCCCCCCCTGATTGTCTAGACTTCAATAGCTTGAAATGGTGTATCCAACTCGTCGGATATTTTTGTTTGGTTATTTTCTAGCCATTTAAAGAAATATATTATTATTGCCCCGTCCCCTTGTTTGACTATTTTTCCAGCAACATCGCAGGTAGGGGAGTGGGGTACCGACAAGGACATCTTCCCCTTGTTACTACTACTACTACTACTGCCACTGCCACTGCCACTGCTACTGCTACTGCTACTGCTACTGCTACTGCTACTGCTACTGCTACTGCTACTACTCCTACTCCTACTCCTACTCCTACTCCGTGGGGCCTCCGCTGGAAACTGTTTATTGAAATATACTCATTTTAACTATTTTGAGACCCAGAAATCTTTTTAAATTACCTTCACTTCTGTAATTTAATTTAACACATGAAGCATATCATAAATGAAAACAATAATTTTGCAATGAATACTTATTTATTTATACATATTTTACAACATAATACAACACAACAAATTAAATTTCTCCAGTTTAGGATCTAAATTGAGGATATTTGGCTCTTTTCCCAGCCATAGTTAAAACCTCCTTCTTATCTAAAATGTGAAAATGTGTTTGATTTTAGAAACGGTACATTTAGGTGTCCCGAGAGACTTTTTTGGGACACCGGGTACGATCGTTTGATCACCCTAATGTAGATTGATTTGCAAAGTCTCCGTTCCTGGTATTGAAGAGGATATTTCACTGGTTGCAAGGGTTACTTAGCGAGAGTATCAGGAATTGGGGTTTGGAAGGCCTGAGGCAATAGACACAAATATTCTAGTGTTGTCGCCTCAACTGTTCCTTTGAGAAGCTTGTACCAGTCCTTGATTGTCTTTTGCAGGAATGAGCAGCTCCTATACTGTGTTCTTGCTGTTATGAGCCGGAATTACTTCTCATGGTCTCTTCTCTGTCTAAGGGGGCGAGGAACGAGTTTCTGTTTAATGGCGAAGCAGTGGACCAGACCATTATTTATCTTGAAGGCCTACATCACGGAGAGCCTGGGTAATCGTCTTCTTTCTTCCAATGGTGACTAGCCCAGTGTTTCCGGCTTGCTGCCAGGCCCGTTCTTAAGCATACGCTGACTACGCATCCGCGTAGGGCCCCGAACGTGAGGGGGCCCCCCATGAGGCGCCCTTGATACCCCGTTTTTTTTTTTAAACTGGCACTGCAGCCGTCTGTGTCACTCACGTTACCTTCCTCATCCTGAAATTTATCATTCTAAGTTGAATTTGGAGGCAGGGGAAGGGAAGCAGCAGGGGGGAGCTTTGGGGGTGGCAGACAGGAAATCGGCAGAATGGAGGTGCCGCAGTGGTGGGTGGTGTTTTCTCCTCAGCTCGAGGGAGCTCCACCCCCGGACCCCCCCTTCCAGGGCCCCCAACCTACGCTCCATGCTTAGGGCCCCCAAACTCCTAAGAACGGCTCTGATGCTGCCAACACTAGAGGTATTCCTGTAGCGATTTAGAACAAAGCATGCTGCTCGTCGTTGGACCGCCTCCAACCTGTAGATGCTATTCTGGATGAATGGGTCCCAGACTGAAGATGCGTAATCTAAACGCGGTTTGAATAGTTTATCCAGCCTGACCACGACTAATACTATTTTAAACTGAAGTTTTTTCTTTGTCTATTGGTCTCGATCAAATCTTTGTACTCGATTTCCGACCTTTTTCATTCGTTCGATGGACTTTAAATTTGTGTACGGTTACTCAATCCCGGTGACAAGACAACACAACATGATCAGTATGTCACCAGGGATCTCCACTGGCCCTTGAGTAGGGCTTGTCATTTAATGGCGGAAATCTATTAATATAACTGATGTCACCATTACTGATCATCCAGGGACAAAATGTCAACACTGTTCAGTATTACTATGTTAGCGAAGTGTCCCTGAAACTTTTTTACAACTCTATTTTACGAAATATTTTACACATTTTTTTTTTTACTTCTGTTTTCTCAAATGCGACTTCATAGCGTGAACGTCATATGAAACAGTAACTCTAGATACAAGGATAGCCCGAACGATATGCTGAAACACACTATAAGCTGCCATGTTTTAAGCAATATTTGTCCGCGGACCTTCTAAAAATAGTACGCTATGACGTTTTCCGGTCTTAGAAATGACAAAGCTTTATAAGCTGGAATTTCGACTTTTACCCACCCCCGATGTCAATACAACACTTCCTGATCAGTAGATCACCGATGACCCCCATTGACCCTTGAGTGACCTCTGCGGATAGTAATAGGGACATCCGGGTTTCACTGCAACGTTTCGCTATGCATGGTTACTCGTTCCCGATATCAATCGACAATGATAACAACATTATTACCACAGAGAGGTCATCACTGACCTTTCACCTCTACACCTATTTCATCCACTTCCTAATGTACAATTGTGCTGAAACTGTGTATACATTCTTTTGTTTTAGGTTTAGCCATATGATTGTAACAGCTCTGACGTTTTGGTTGACATTTTAGTACATTTTTTTAAAAAGCGTATTTATATATATATATATATATATATATATATATATATATATATATATATATATNATATATATATATATATATATATATATATATATATATATATATATATATATATATATATATATATATATATATATATATATAGTCTTATTGTTTTATGAGATGATTATCTATCTTGTCGATCAGTCAGAGAAGAACTCTTACCTCATTTGACAGCCACATATTCAGTGCATCAGGAGGAGAAAAAAAAGTGTGGTAAAATATAATTCGTTTCTTTAAACAATTTTAATAGCGTTAACAACAACCAATTGGGATTCAAAGAAATTTAGGTAGGCGTATACTAAACATTATTTTCTTCTGGATGAAATTCTATAGCATCTGATTATTTTTTAGGGTCAAGTAAAACTATTTACATTTTCAATAAGAATCAAAGTGCTGTCAAAGCAATTCGCAGATTATTATATTGGAGGTGACTCAGATGTACTTAAGTATTTATCGAGAAGTTTACCCACATTGCATAAGATCACAGAGACTTTGCACAATGCGCTGTCATGGATGAATGAGTGTAATATTTTATGAATTATTTGGTTATTGTTTCAACTGTAACAGGTTATATTAGTTTTTTGTTTTTTTAAATTTCGAAAAAATCATTACTTCTCTTATGTAGGCTATATGTAATGAAACATAATTTAATCCACACAGAAACAAAATACTAACACAATATCATTATTATTGCATTAAAATTATAAACAAGAAATATTACATACAAAATACATATGATCAATAATAAATCTAACGACTCTATTTTAGATTATTGTTAAACGATTTTAAATACCATTTTGTTCTATTTGGTGTACATTTCTGGCGTTTAAAATGGACAATTAGAATAATACATATTCATAAAATCATAAAACTTATTATAACATAACCTAGATCTAGAGCTTGGCTCTGCTTACTTGTTGAGTAGACTATTCCAATTCTTCATCTGATCATCTTGGCGAGTAACATTTTTTTACAAATTCAATTATAAAAGTAAGTAATTATTTTATTAGTTCACACTAAAAAAACTTTAATTAAATGCCGACTCTTATGGCGTTCGTTTAACTAATATTTGGACATTTAGACCAACCTTTTTTTTTGTTTACATTTACAAACAGTATTCCATTTCGCAGTTTGCGAATTAAACAATGCTATTAGTTATATTATCCTTAAGTTGATGAAAATTGTCTTTAAGATGTCTGATAATTTATTTACGGCTGTTTAAAGAAATACTGGCACCTAAATTTGATATAAATAATTCAGTGCAAAAATGAGCATAAAGCCAGATCTTGTTTTGGACACAGCATCTCCAGGTTATTCAAGAAGGTTACTTGAAAATCTGGCGTCACTGTGGACTGACGCCTCGTTTTGTGATGTAACACTATTAATAGGAAAGAAAAAATTTCAGGCTCATAGAAATATACTTGCAGCAGCTAGTCCATTTTTTAAAGCCATGTTTTTGTCTGGCATGGAAGAGCAAAGTCGGAGTGAAATAGAGCTTCATGAAATGTCTTCAGACATATTTAATACTTTAATAACCTTTATGTACACAGGTAATAAAGTTTGTTCACTAATCATTTTGGTAGCCATTAGTTTAATCTCTTTTGGCCAGTGGTTCCCAAAGTGTGTGCTGCCACACCCTGGGGAGCCATGTCTTTCTCATGGGGGCACAGCGAAATACTAAAAAATTGTCATAATTTTATTTCTATCTTCCAATCAGTTGGGGCTTAAGGGGTCATCCATACCTGACAATGTGACATCACGCAAATTTTTCAGATTTTTTAGCCCCTCTCATCACAAATTGTGACAAATCATCACAAAAAGTTAGTCCCACCCTCAAATATTACGTCACAAATGTCTGCAGTCAGTTTTCATGCATTTTGATTAGTAGCAGTAAATGTTTATCTGGTGAATATTGTTTGCGCATTACTTGTTTTGGTAATTTTTTTCCTCGTTTATAAAAAGTTAACTAAAGAAATAAAACTACAATAACTAAATTATTTAATTATTTTCATATTTTAAATTTTATTACAATATAATTTTAACAGTCGGGGGCGGGGGGAGCGGGTATGTTTAAAACGGAGTGGGCCTGCAGTGCTGCAAAAAGGTTAAGAATCGCTGCCCTAGAGCACTTAATAAGATCTGGTGCAGACCAGTAACTCATCTTACTCTTGGTAATAATTGATTGCAGAAACCTATAGACCTTTAATTAGTAAAATTTGACTTAGTCAAAGGGCGCCGTGAGAAAACCTCGATTGGGCAAGGGTGCAGAGAATATTTTAAAAGTTTGGGAATAACTGCTTTTCAACTATGATTATATTATTATTATACCTTTTAAGTATTTGGAGCACTATCCATGTTTTGAGCTTTGGGTGAATTCCATGTAAAAGTGGACACAACATCCAAAAATTAAATTTCATAACATTTGGTGCTATAAACATTTATTTGGTATGGTCTTTTTTAGTACCTTTGTTTGTGTGACACATGACATGGCCATCTTGAATAAAGAACATGTTACACATGATATGGTCAGCATGACATGGTCATCTTGAATTAAGAACATGTTCAATGTTGTTTGCATATTTAATAGAAATGTTGTTGAATTTTATTGTGTTCACAATTTTCATTGTCACGGTAAATGTCAGATGATGGACAAGCATTAAAAGAGTTATTTATGGTTATTTAAGTTATTTAGCTGCTACAGTGATGTATTTATAATTCTGTTAAAGAATTGACATTCTATTTTTATTGCTTGCAATCAGACACATGACGTCAGTTACAAAGTCATGTAATGTCAGTTGCATTATTTTGTCTGTATTTTTTAAGAAATATATATGTTAAAATAGTTTTTAAAGTTTTTCCTTAGATAGTAAAAACTTTAGATAATTATTTTGAAAAAAACAAACATATTTCAATCAATGCAGATTTCGAGGGAAATCAATACAAAAAGAGGCTAATTCAAATACTATGTCTTTTTTCATGTTATGTCAGTTACAATGCCAAAATTGACTATTTTTCACCCTCTTGAGGTGGCTGGGCCGATCTATCAGCCCAGAGTATTATGTCAAAAAAGAAAAAAGGCTGATCTATTGGACCAATAATAAAAGCCTTGAGATTGGCTGGTTCTGGTTGGTCTTCATATCAGCTAATCAGATTGCTTCTCGGATTTCTTGCTCATCTCCCCAATTTAATGTCGGCTTCCACTGATATTTTATGGTGTTTTTCATTTTATATAATTTTTTATTACCTAGTAACCCATATAAACGCTTAAAAATATGTGAACTTCAAATATGCCAAAAGGCATAAGCAGCCCCAGGGGAATATTTTATGCAGTTTTTCCAAATTGAATCTCAGACAATTTTATTCTAAGTTTTAAAAAAATTGCATGCATATATCATGCAAATCAAGATAGCTCATTTGCATACATGTTGGGATTACAGTTTGATTCAGAAAGATTGTATTAGTTTATTCAATTCCCTACAAGAATATATATTGAGTTACTGGTATATTTGTAAAGTAATTAGTTGATTTTTTTATACATTTTTTTTTTTTTTGCAAAAGAAGTGCAGGGCTTGTGAAAAGGGCTCCATCTTTTTGGCACAGAGTCCCAAGAGTCTTAATATTGTGCATAATATTTTTTCTAAATGCGCTGCTGTTTTACAGTCTACCAACTTAAGACCCAAAACCATGTATTTGTATACTTAAATCAACCACACTTAATGGCATTCTCCTGTTATACTGGATGCAAATTGAAATTATTTTTCTGAAAGTTACTTCAGTTACCATATGGTATATATATAAATTGGTTGTTTTTAATATCATTTTCAGTCGTGACACTAATCCACATCTATGCAATTAATAATTGAATAGTGGTAATTCCTGGGCTGAAAAATACAGTTATACTAGACTAATGCAAGGCTATATAACTTTTTGAAAAGTTGATGGATGCATGTGAGATAATACATAATGTGACTTGCTTGTTTGAAATACCAAGGCTAGTGGTATATAATGAAATATTTCTCAGAAGCAATTCTCTCATTGCAGAGAAATTTTTTTTTTTTGTGTGTTGCATTTATGAAAATTTATATTTATAGGTTTTGTTAAAGTTGATGTTGATACATGTCAAGATCTACTTGCAATGGCAGATATGCTTGGAGTGGATGATGTGGTTGATATTTGCAGCCATTTCCTCATTGAAAATATATCTCCTTTTAACTGTATTGGTAGGTAACAAAAGTAGCTTAATGCAAGATTTAAGTAGCTTAATGCAAGATGTCTTTATTTGTTAAAAATGACAAATAACGAAGTATCAGCCTTTAAATAAACCCTATTCCATTCATGAAATAAAAAATATTATTCAGTTTTTTCCCTATTTAATTTAAAAGAAAAATGCTTTACTCTTCCTTACCGCTCATTTTTTCAAAGGTATTTTTGCGTTTGCGGATGCACACAATCTGTTGAGCATGAAGCGTCAAGCAGAGCTTTATTTAGAAAAGAACTTTGTTCAGGCTGCAAAAGGCGATGAGTTTACACAGCTTGAATTACCTTTGGTGCTAGGAATTTTAGGAAGTGAAAGACTTCACATAGAGACAGAAAGTCAGGTTGGATTTTATTTAGATTAGGAAATTGCTGGCTGGGAATTAATTAAATAATTGGCTATGACAGAGTTCAGTTGTTTAGAATCTCATATAAAATGGTCGAACTTAATTGTCTCACTATAATTCCAAGAAAAAAAAATTAAAAATTACACTTTGCTTGTTCATGGTTTTAAAGTCCATTCGTTGTTACTTGTGGAGAGGACTTTTCATTGACATCTTGAATTGTCTTAATTCTTTTTTACTTATTAGCACTTTTAATATTTTTAAAACAACAGGTCCTTGAAGCTGCTGTTGATTGGATACTACACGATCTCCCTACTCGTAGAAAATACCTTCTTCAATTATTGAATCAAGTACGAATAAATCTGGTGTCTCACAAGCATCTTTTTCAGATAATTGATGCTTGCAATGATCATGGCGTGAAGATTACATTAACTAAATATGCCTCAAAGGCAGACGGGGCTAAAACACTTAATGCCCATGGTCTTTACATTCCAGTTGCTAGTATCAATACAGCAACATGGCCACGTCACAATGCCAAGAAGTACATCTATGTCACGGGAGGGTTCGCCAGGAACAAAACCACCTTTGTGAGCAACATCAGCACACTTGACAGCGTTGAGAGGTATGATGTCTTTGCACAGAAGTGGCAGACCTTTAACGGCATGCAGCAGGCTCGCAGCAGCCACGGACTGGCGGTTCTTGATAGGAAGATTATTGTTGCTGGTGGAGAGGATGCGTCATTGATATCAGACTTTGTGGAGTGTTTTGATCCAGATGAAAACTTCTGGACACCAATGCCCAGCATGATCCAGCCGAGATATGGACTCGGGCTGGTATCTTTAAATGGTTATTTGTATGCAATAGGTGGCTATGTTGGCTCTGAGATAGGTGGCTCAGTGGAGAAATATGATCCTGTAGAGAGAATTTGGCTGGAAGTGGACAAGATGCCAAATCCAAGATTTTCAATGGCAACAGTAGAATATGAAGGTATGTCAGTTTAAAAATATTTTTAGTTTGTCAATAAGAGCTAGGTAATTAAATTGCCATTTTTTGCATATGATGTCTAGCTTCCATTTTTAACAAAGATTTTAGTTTATACTTCATCATTAAGGCTGATAAATGTGCCTCTTGAAAATAAGTCAAGCTGATGAGGATCAATAGAACTATCTCAATAAATGATTTAAAAATAATAGTCTTGCTTCTATAATAGATAAATAATGAGAAAGCAATAGGCAATAATTAGTAAAAGCCAGACTAGGCTCTCAGCATGCTTCTGTGTACCGGTACTCCACTCAAAGAAATGAAGATCTTCTGTTTATTAATTGAAACTATTACTCCATATGCTTCCTCTGCATTTGAAAACCAATGCATAATTATGTCTTTATATCTCAACAGAACATCACACCCATACAGTAGAACAAAGTTTAGCCACTGTTTCAATTGTTGATTTCAAGGAAACTTTAAAATAAAATACTTTGTAGCCTTCTAAAAAAAAAAAAGAAAGAAACATTCTGATTTCAATTTCAAGAGACCTTTTTTCTTTTGACATCTATCCTTATATTTTTGGTTAATGGAATTGGTATAGACAGCCAATTTAAATCCCACCCCAAGTTGTTTTTGGTTGTTGAGTTTTTTTTTTCACCCAGGGTTTACATTCCCAGAAAGCCTGCGTTCCTGGGGTGATAAGTCCATTCAATTTCAAGAGGCACTGTTTCAGAAATTAATGTTTGAACTCTAAAGAGTTTCAGAAGCAGGATTTATGTATGATTTATATTTTTCCAGGTTTAATCTATGTGGTTGGTGGTCTGTCTGAGCACTACACCGAATCTGATGCTGTTGAAAGCTACAATCCAATCACTAGGGAATGGTGTCCCTTGGCACGCCTCAAATACCCTCGAGCTTATCATGGGCTGGTTGCCAGTGATGGCTACCTCTATGCTGTTGGGGGTTTTAATGAGTATAAAGGATCACTCAGTTCAGTTGAGAAATACTCTATTAAAGAGGTGAGACTTGCAACCTCTCACAATAACCTGTTCAGTTAAAGTTAGAAATGATGTTAAAAAACCTCCGGAGTTTTAATTTCTATTTTATACATTTACACTTAAGTTTCATTCCATAGCATAGAAATGTAAGATTTGGATAACAATTCAATTCAAACTGTGAAGGTGGATCATTTTTAAAGGAACAATGAAATTCCATTCTTACAAAAATAGATATAGCTCTTTATAAATTTTAATAGTTAAAAAAAATTTAAACACGTGGACCTCTCTTAATTTATATTATTTTGTTAATATGTTTTGTCTGTTGATTAAGGTGTTTAGCTAATGCATTCAATTTGTCTTTGTCTGTCAACTATTCAAAATAATTCTCTACACTTAACATGTTTTTAATGTTCAATTCTTGACAATAATACATTTCTCCAGAACAAATGGACCAGTGTTTCATCTATGGGGATCAGCCGGGCAGGTTCAGGTGTTGCAATGGTTGATGGGAAAATTTATGTTTTTGGTGGTAGATCCCAAGATGTAGAAATGGCTGGAACAAATGGTTTTTGTGCGTCTGTGACACTTGACAGCGTGGAGTGCTATGATCCACAAAAGGATGTATGGACCAACCTGCCTAGGATGGCTTTTGAGAGATGCGAGACAGTAGCAATAGTTTTGTGATATAACCTTTGACAAATTTTGTTTATATTTTTTGGGGGGAAAGTTGCATTAAGTATGTTAAGGATAATATACATTCTGTGTAACATCTTTGATTTATGTGTAATTTGACCATATCAATATCATTGTTGAATGAAAATGGGGAATCTGCTTATATTTATCCAATAAGTATTGACGAAGTTAATTAGTTTATTGCTGACAAATGAAATACTAATGTGATAGAGTTGTGATATGCAGATTATACACCATGTTAGTAATTTAAATATCATTAATAGATTAGCAAATTTGTTTTGATACCTATAAAAATACACATTAGGGAGCTTAAAAGCGCCAGGAAAAGCAAATTCCTATTTGTACATAAAGTGGATCTTATGATCTGAATGCAAATATACTTTTCTTGCATGATAAAAAAAGATTATATTTTTTAAAAAAATGCAGTGTTTTATAAGTTCATATGTAGTTGATATGCAAAAATAAAATAAATATTACAGCCTTTTGAAACTATAATTTTCAGGCCTTCTTCCAGACAATTAGCAGAATTATTCTTAATAAGAAATATTTTTATAGCATAATCAGAACATTGCATTTAGAGAAAAACTTTTTTTTTCAAAGTGTATTATTTTGGGATTGTATTTGGAACACATATTACATATGGTCAGTGACATGGTTTATCTTTTTATCACTTTCTCATTGTCCTATTCCCACACCTGAGCTGTGAAATAATCTCCCCCCACCACTGCAACTCCATTTTTGAGCTGTACTGTTGGAATAAAAACAGAATATGTATAATTAGACATCCAAGTATTACATATAAAAAAGCAGTTATCAAATGGTGCAAAAAATACATTGTGGGTAGTGCAATTAATTTTATTATGTAATTAAAAAATAATATAAACTTTTCTCAAATTAACTGTTATAATTTTGTCAATAATTATTGATCTCATTCCCAATATAAATAATTTAGAAATGAAATATTTATAAAATGACTGTGCATGTGGAAATGACTTTGATAAGGCTTTAAAATATTTACTTGTTATAAAAGCATACAATAGGTAGCCGTAGAATGGCTAAATTTAATTATTTGTATAGTGATATTTAAATTTATTATGCAAAATTATTATTATTTTTCAAATTTTAATGCTAAAATGTTGCGGTAAACTAAATAAATGCCATTAGCCTGCCCCTATTACTTCTATCTTGATAACATAAAAAAAAATATGTCAACCATTTGTCTGATTTCAAATGTCCAAAAAAAAAAATGAGATTAGATGTTATTTCTAGGTGACATTCCAAATAGAAACCTTACTAATAATTTTACTATCCTGGGCTGTCATAGACTAAAAGTTTTTCCAAAAAAAAAAAAAAAAAAAAAAAAAAAAAAAAAAAAAAAAAAAAAAAAAAAAAAAAAAAAAATCTGGGCTGTAAAAAACTAAAAGTTTTTCCAAAAAAAAAAAAAAAAAAAAAAAAAAATGTGAAAGAAATAACTGACATGGGAGATTGAGTCTATCTCTTTTTGTGTATGTTTAAAGATTTCACTAAATAATTAAAATAGCATTCTTTGGTATTATAATTCAGATAGTAATTAACAGATTAAAAATGTACATGCATTGGTTGGACAGCTTTAGTTGAGTTTTATTGTAGTAATTTAGTAAATTTTGGTCTTGTCGATTTATGTCATAATGAAATTATATGCCTTTTACAATTATGTTTTTCAACCAAATAAACTGATTTATCTTGTCATTTTCCTTTGTGTTATTATTTTTCAAAATTTAAGTTTGATTGTAAAAATTCGATTTAAATTATACATTATGCAATAAATGAAGAAGATTATAATTTCTCTTTAAAAGTCACCTAAATAAATACATTTGAGACCTTATGTTTTAAACTTATTATAAAATGCACTTTCATTACTATATTAAAATTTCTGTCTCGATTTAGTCACTTCTTCCAATATATATTAACTTGCATTGAATACATTTCTTGTACAGTGAAAAATTAGTTTACCATTTTTTTGAAAGATAAATGAATACATATTATATTACGAAAGCATTCTGAACTAAATTTTGAATAATGAAAATGCTGGAGGATAATATACAAACTGCCAAAAAAAAAACCCCAACTATATAAAGAGAAGTTTCAAATAAATCACCTCAAAAAACTAAAACCTCAATCAGACAAACAATGCTCTGATAGTTAATAGAATAAAGTGGATTTTAAAAAATAATAATTTGAAACTATAGTTCAATTTCACTCAATATATTGTACTGTTAAATCAAATAATTTTAATATAATTTTTTTTGGTTTTGTTTTCTTCCTGCACCAACTGGTGCTTGGATTTGAGCAATGGCCAAAAAGGCCACTTTTTAACTGTTGCTTCTATTGAAGCTTTCTGCAGGTTTCTTTTTTGTAGATCCTTTGCTGTTCTGTTCTATGTCTTATGGGTCTGCCGCTGTTTTCCCTCCAGGCTGTTCATCTTGTAATGGGCCTCTAATATTTTCTGCAATGGTTGTCACTCTTGATCTACATACTATACAACTTCTTCTTTGGATATTGTCTTTGATCAGAAGATTTGATTGATCTTTCATGGACATTAAATCTGGAAAGCTTCCAGCTTCAGTTCTGATAAGCAAGTGGTATTTTTAAGACATTACTTTTAAAACAATTTTTAAAAAAATGCATTATGATTACAAACCTATCAAAACATGCAAACTGTATTAAGACTATACTATGAGATTAATGGGAAAATATTTTTTGAAAATAAAAAAACTGTATTTGATCGAAAGTTTATCAATTTAATGTATATTTTATATGTGTATATTATATTTATTAAAACAATGTTTAATAAATGGACTATAATTGGACTATTTAATTAAACTTTATTTCAGCTAACTTGACTTAATTAAAAAAATGTTCACGAGATGATTTAACTATTTAATTTATTAGCATAATTAATATGGGAATTAAATCGGATGACTAACCGAATACTTTTGTTTACCGCCCTTAGATTGGGCAATTTTTAGAATATATCCGAACAAAATTGAAAACTGTTCTGTCCCCTTCTCATTTGTAGTCACGTGATCAAAACAACACTCGATGGCGCCAGTTACTGAAAACATTATTATTGAAGGATGTTTCATATCATATTAATAAGTCTTACTTCAACGACAGGATTTTTTTCCTTCTTGGAAGCGTTTACTGAGGTATTTAAAATGCAGATAAGTTCGTTTTGTGTATGTGACATGTGTGCGTTGATAATTTAATTTAGTCTTGTTCAGACGTAGGCTATACACTCTTTCACTCTTTCGCTTACTAGTGCTAACTTATAATTAGCTTAGCTCAGCTTAGTATTTAAACCTGGTCTATTAGTCTTAACTACTCTTAATCTTAACCCTTACTCTTAGTAAACTTAGTATTAGTTGTTCACTTTTATTACTGTAACTGAACTAAACTCCAATTACTTAAATATGTCATGTCTTGCCACTCTTACTCTTTGAGTCTTTATAAAATAATATTATTATTATAGTCGGACCCAGTCTTTAGTATTGTTATAAGTTATAGTATAGTCGGAACCCACAAATAAGTACCGACGCCGACAGTATTATTAGACAGTAAGTTCAGTAAGAAGGTGGACTCCAGGCAGTATCGACAGTATCGTATCGTTGTTAGTATTAGGGTTAGTGCACCTTGTGGAGGCAGGACGGAGAGGGGGGGGGGGGGACAGTTGAAAAAAATGAGGTGTCAAAGAGCCACTAATCTTACGTTCACTTGATGGTGATGTATTTGTTTAAGACTTAAGATTTTCCCCATTATAAAAAAAAAATATACCTTGTGGAGGCAGGACGGAGAGGGGGGGGGGGCGACAGTTGAAAAAAATGAGGTGTCAAAGAGCCACTAATCTTACGTTCACTTGATGGTGATGTATTTGTTTAAGACTTAAGATTTTCCCCATTATAAAAAAAAAATAGAATCCTTCTCCTACGTCATTCCCTCCTCCGCGTAAAGCGTATGGACAACGTAAAGCGTAGGGACAACACGTGATTTTTGTTTCACAAGTTGTTGCCACCATGGATTTGGAGCAGGCCTTTTTTGGGGCCCAGCTCCGCTCCAGCTTCACTGGGGACAAATGTTTGTGAACTCCACGCCGAGCTCCGAACAAATAAAAAGTGGGGAGGGGTGGTTAAAAAAAAAGGGGGGGGGGGGGAGAGGTGTGGTAAGTGTTACCTAGGCAATAGAAATGCATGTACCAGCAACATAGCTGGTAGAAGAGTGGGACAAAGGTGCACATTTAAAAGAGTAGGGCAACATAGCTAGTAGAAGAAAAGGGCATAAATTTAAACTAATTAATATATATATTTAAAAAAAAATAAAAAAATTTTAAATACATTTTGGAGCTTGGAGTAGTAAGAAATGTTAACAGTTCGGCTCCAGCTCGGGGAAAAAAGATCCTGTTCCAGAGCTCCGGCTCCAGTACTCCGAGCTCCCATCCAAATCCCTGTTTGTAACACATATTAAATTGTTTTGTTTTCCCTTCCTTGTGACAGACTTATTTCTTTAGTCTTGAACCAAGATTCTTGATGATCGGTGGACTCGCTTCCCAACGTCATCTTGATGATCGGTGGACCTCCTTCCTAATCCCGTCTTGATGAACGGTGGACCCCCTTCCCAACCCCGTCTTGATGATTGATGGACCACTTTTCCAACCCCGTCTTGATGATCGGTGGACCCCCTTTCCAATTCCATCTTGATGATTGGTGGAAACCCTTTCCAATCCCATCTTGATGATCGGTGGACCCCCTTTCCAATCCCATCTTGATGAACGTTGGACCCCCTTTCCAACCCCATCTTGATGATCGGTGGACCCCCTTTCCAATCCCATCTTGATGATCAGTGGACCCCCTTCCAATCCCATCTTGATGATCGGTGGGCCCCTTTTCCAACCCCGTCTTGATGATCGGTGGACCCCCTTTCCAATTCTATCTTGATGAATCGTGGACCCTCTTCCCAACCCGTCTTGATGGTCGGTGGACCCCCTTTCCAATTCCATCTTGATGAACGGTGGACCCCCTTTCCAATCTTATCTTGATGATCGGTGGAGCCCCTCTCCAATCCCATCTTGATGATCGGTGGACCCCCTTTCCAATTCCATCTTGATGATCGGTGGACCCCCTTTCCAACCCCGTCTTGATGATCGATGGACCCCCTTCCCAACCCCTTCCCAATAAACAAAAACAGTGAAAAGCATTCATTAACAGGTTTTGTGTGCGTGTTTTGTTGTTGTTGTTTTTTGGTTTGGGGGGGGGGGAGTGGGTTGGGGACTGTTAGAATAAAGTTGTCGATCTGTCCCCAAAGTGTCAGGCCTCCTAAAGGTTCATGTTGAGGTCATCGATGGTGTCCTTAACGCGGTCGATCAACCGCCGCCGCCGCTGTGGTCTTTCCCTGGCCCTGAAGCCTGGAGTGCCTGCTATTGTAGTCTTGCAATGCGGGTTGATTTACCCCGGTGACCAACCCAATTCATATATATTGTCGGCCCACCTACTGTCAGATGGGGATGGCACCAACCATGCGTCTTATGACCTGTTTCCGAATGTGGTCCCTTCTTATTGCACCGGCCTATAGCCATTAGCTGCTCACCTTAAACATCTCATTTCGCAGGTGAAGAGTGTTTTTTTTTTTCCTTGACAGTTTTATTATTCATATCCTTAGCCTGACACTGGTAGGCAATGGGTGGAATAAAGACAGTGTTAATTAGTCTGGCCCTGGTCTCCATCTTTATTCGTGGTCGCCTGAGCCTGACACTGGTAGGCAATGGGTGGAATAAAGACAGTGTTAATTAGTCTGGCCCTGGTCTCCATCTTTATTCGTGGTGGCCGTAGTTGGCTGGGCTATTCGGTAGCTGACTGGGGCGCGTGTGTCATTTACTCTCTTGTTTCTAATTCTCTGTCCAAATTTCCGTCTTCAGCACTACACTCTTAGCAAAAACACAATTGCTGTGTTGTGGATACCTATATGTATCATGATTTCTTAAAAGATTATATTCTGTCACGTTCGTTACAAATAAATTTAATTTTTTTAAAAATTATAATGGCAATCAAATCTAGTATGCTGATCTTTCACGAAGGGTTACCCGGAACGAAATTTGGTGGTTTGAAAATTGATTGACGGAAGTAGAAGTTTGTATCGGTCGAGTGGGAATATGGCCTGATAAGCCTCACGCAGTCCTGGCAATATTATCAACATGTTAGCCGTGG